TCTCTAACCCAAGTACTGAAGATTCTAAGAACTAGACTATCTGTAGTCTCTGAGCTCTTTTCAGTTATTGTGGCCGTTTGGGTTTCTTAAGTTAGCCTGAGAATGGAGTAGAAGCCATCATATAAAATACACAGTATAAAATGTTTTCTCTAGTGTATCATCGTTTGGGACAACGATTCGGAAATTTTCAAGTCCAGAATTGCCACATAATTAAGTCACTTATGCATTATTTAGGTTACAAAAGTATTTTAACAATTACATTTAGAAGGCTTTAACTAGTTTCATACTAATTTTATGTTCATAGCTTGGGAAAATACTACCTTAAAATACATAATTAGGTATTTCCTTATGATCATCAGCTGTATTTATTCTCTGCATATTCTGGTTGATTTCCATGTTTAAAAAAAAAAAAAAAAAAAAAAACTATTGCAGGAGGCATAACTACCTAAGTAGGTCTTCTTAGAGGGAAGCATTAACTGCTGCTGCGAAAGTTGATTTCATTTTCTTAGAAATGATTGCAAGGCCCATGGCCATCATTTTAAATTAGTAACAGCATTCTCTGAGGAGCACAAAGGTAGGCTTGGAATCCTTCGCAGCACAGTGCTTCCAGGGCAGCCACTACTAATTCTCTAACATTGGCATGAGAAATGAGACCAGCTTATCTCTGCCTCTCTCAACTGTGCTAAGATGCTGGTGGTTTTCAGGGACCCAGTGCCTGCAAGGCAGAGTAATTGCCACTAGATGGCACTAGTGCTATGTCAAGAGAGCCCTCAGGGCCTCAGGCCTCCAACATTCCTTTTGAGGCATTTAAACCCCTCAGTGCCCCCGAACCCTTAGCCACACGCAGCACTTGTTGACTTGCCTTCCCTGTCCAACTGGTGAAAATTTTCTCTACACCTTTGGACTTGATGTTCAAAAACTAAAAATCTAGGGAAGACAGTATAGGGGCACACTTCTCTCTTACCGTGTTGCCAGGGGCAGTTTTTGTCTTCCATGTCTGAATATGTTCCCCTGTACTGTCTTCCATGTTATTCCAGGAAGATGCTTAAGCTAATTCTCATTCCTTTTTTCTCTTACAACATATTTACTTTTTATGAGCCTTAGTTTCCTCATTTATAAAGGTGATTCAAAGTAGACACCCTAGGAGGATGGTTTTGGAGGTTAAAAGTGATATATCTGGCCCTGCCTGGTGGCTCAGCCACTTGGAGCATCGTCGCATAGACCAGAAGGTTGTGGGTTTGATTCCCAGGCGGGGTGCATGCCCAGGCTGCAGGTTCAGTCCTTGCTGGGGAGCCTGTGGGAGGCAGCAGTCAGTGTTTCTCTTTCCTTTCCTCCCTCTCTCTAAAACTCAAAAACATATCCTTGGGTGAGGTTAGAAACAGTGAGACGTATACAATCTTACAAATTATGACATAAATTGATTTCTAAGCATTTTAATAGCATTACTGCCAGATTTTTGCTATTACAGGTACACTATATATATATATATATATTTTAAATGTAAGACAAAGTTTAGCAAGTACCTTTTCTTTATTAATTAAACTGAAAAAAATTTCACCACTGGCTCCTCAATACTTGCTATTCTTTCCCCATGTCTACACCCAAGTTCAGTAGTCCAGCCCAAAGGGCTACACTTCTCAACATTTTGCCCTTTAGGGTCTGTTGAACCTCTGCCACTTCAGTTCTTCTATTACATACACAGACACACACGCACACATATACATATATACACATATATACATATGTGTGTGTGTGTTTTATTGATTTTAGAGAGAGAAAGGAAAAGGAAGAGAGAGAAAATTCAATGTGAGAGAAACATCGATCTGTTGCCTCCCATATGCACCCCTGCCGGGGACTGAACCAGCAACCTGGGCATATACCCTGACTGGGAATCCATAAGATTTCAGTGACCTTTCGGTGCATGCGATGATGCTCAGCCACTGAGCCACACTGGCCAGGGCAGCTCAGTTCTTGGATGTAGCATTTCAGTGCCCATGGTGCTACAGTGTATTATTTTCTATACTGAGTTTTAAATTTTAGGTATAAAACTATTCCTCCCTCCAGAGTACTTTGCCTTAATCATATCTTTATTGGTTTGCACATACATCTACTCCCTTACCTTTATGCTTTGTAAAAAAATATCTGAGTGTTAAGCACATGGTGGGCACTAAATGTTTATTATATATACTCCATATCAGTGTATTAACCAAACACTATTCCAGAAAGGAGAAAGACAATTAATAGGTTATCTTCTGGCTTTATGTTGCTCTGTTGTTAGAGCTCTTCATCAGTTTGAGATGTTACACCTTAATTGGAACTATAAGTACCCATGAATAAATTTAAATGATTGTGAATTTCAGAGATAGTGTTTCCATTTCACATGCCTCAGTCTCCTTTCTCTTTACCAACCCTGTAATCAAGGCACAGGATCTTATTTAAGCTAACAAATGATTATCCTTCATTACATAAGTAGTATGTAACTTGACCTTAAAAGGCTGCTTGCTTCACAAGATGGCAATGAATCCAGCCAGCAGCTGTGTCTACTTTCACACTGTCTTGCTACCTTTGAATAGAAGCTGATTTTGCAAGAGGCTGGGGAGTCAGTGCCTCACACTTCCGTCTCTGATCTAGAATGTATCGGTGTTTTCAGGCTGTGGAACTGCATTGTCTCTCATGAGTTCTGATTCCTCTTGGGTTTAAATACATTTGAAATCTGTGCTTTTGTTTACATACCACAAGCTATGTAAACATACAGTTTCTGAGATATACTTCTGTAATGTTCTGTGTACTCATTGCTGATCTCATCTTTGAGTATTGCTAAAAATTGGATCAAAACAAAATTTGAACAATAAGAGAGATGGATAATATATGTGATATTGTTGGAAAATGGATAATGTATTTAAAATACTATAGGTAATACAAATGGACTAAAGTGATTTTTAAAACCATCAGATTTCAGTGAATATTTCTTTGAACTTGGAGTGGCTAAGAACTACTTAAGCATGAAAGCAGTGGAAATATCATCAAGAGAAATTAGTTAGGTTTATATTATACATAAATTAAAAAATAAAACTTCAGGGGGTAGAAGAATCAAGATGATTGGGTTAAAAATACATAGATATGGCAGGCAAAGGTGTGATGTCAATATGTGAAAAACTCCTCTCTCAGACCAGTAATAAGGCATACTATAATAAAAGCATTATTATAATATTATTAATAATATTAATTTTTGAATGTTATGATATACTGAGGGCCTATCATATATTTTAATCCTCATAGTAACTCTTTGAGGGAGATGCTATTACTGTTCTTCCATTTTACAGATGATGAAACAGACACAGGGAGGTTAAGTAACTTGCTCATGCTCTCGTAGCCGGTTGAGTAGCTTATACATTGTGTACTGTTGCTGAATGCATGGCTGTCTTTCTGATCCCAGAAGTGTGGTTCTGATGTCTGTATTCTTAACCACTATCCTATACTGCTTAGCATAGGCAAAGGACAAGAAAGAAAGTTTAAAAAAAGAAGAAAATAAAATGACCCAAAAGCATGAAAAATTTTCAGTTACATTAATGATACAAAAGCAAATTAAAATAAAAATGAAATATTATCTCTCTTACAAATAGAGTGATGAGAATAGGAAGCTTGCATAGAGTGGTGGTAGGAATGTATTTCTGGAGTGTGTGTCCCGCTCAGCATACTTACCCACCAGGCCCCCCTGGCAGAAGGCTTGGTGGGACCCGGGAGCAGTGCTACAGGGCTAAGGCTGGAGGTTGTCCTGCTCGAGGGAGTAGGGAATGTGCCATTGTCCTGGTAACTCTTCTGGAAAACTATGGAGAAGATGCAGCTTGCTCCACAGCCTGGTTTTTGAGCTCAGGTGTCCAGTTGGCTACAGTTCTGGGTGTAAGATAGCAGAGCGCAAGGCTGGCCTTTCTCAAAATGAGTAGGATCTGGCCAGTGGCAACTGAATGTACACGTGGAAGGATGCATGAGGGTTTTATAGTCTTTCTTCTGAGAAAGTCTCTGAAGAGATTGCCAGGCTTTTAGCTTTGATTTAAAAATTTCAAATTATACTTTCTTGTGGCATTATTATATCTGAGAGAAATTTCATAAAGCTGTACTCAGTTGCCTCAACTGTTGACAAATGATTCTCGATGTTTAGTTTGGTACAGGATGCTGGGAATATAAGTCTACTTCCTTTATTCAAACTCAGTAAATGGTTTGGGACAATTAATTTCCAATTGTTTCCCAGTAGAGCAGATTTACTTGTATATTAATGAGGCACAGGTGTTAGGCCCCTGGTGCCTGCATGCCTGGGAGGCATATTTCGGTTGTTTATCTGCTCAGCCATAGGTACTGCAAGGTACTCAAGCTTGCCTTTAACAGTTTTTACAGTGAGGCTTTTTAATTTTTTGATGTTTTTCTTTTTCAAATTTGCCTGCACCTGTTAAAATTTTAAAACTGATCATGTAGAAAGAAGTTGCAGAGATTTCAATAGCAAATAGCACTAAAAGTTAGAGAAAGCAGTCTTGTGTTATATTCACCTGCCCAGCCTGACATTGAAGAGAATTTGGTTCATTTCAACAGCTATTTCATGAGAGAAGCCAATATAATCAACAACACACCTTTCTGTTGTGTATTTTTGGAGCACGTGTATCTTTGTCAATGGCTGAACCAGTCATAAGCTTATATTAATATTCATTTTTTGTCTTGTCTATTCACTGAACCGCACTACCAGCATTTTAGAGGAAAGGGAATAGCCTCCATAGACATTACGAATTTCAGTAGCTGGCATAATTATAGTGATCTACATATTCATTAAATCTACAGAAGAACTCTGTCCAAAAAGACAGCCATGCGTTCAGAAGCAGTGCACAACTAAACATATACGTCTTAAAAGTTGCATTTCTTAGACTTACTTAAAATTAATTTCCTGTGGCACTCCTCTCCAAGCAGAAGCATTTTAACAAAAGGATCTCCATGCTTTGGCTTCTTGCATATAGGAAAGAATGGGAAGAACTCTTTGTAAACAACAATTACTTGGCAACAATAAGGCAGAAGGGGATTAATGGGCAGCTGAGAAGCAGCAGGTTCCGCAGCATTTGCTGGAAGGTAAGAAGAAAATATTTATTTACAGTTTGTGGTTGCAGTATATCAACACATTACCTGATGCCCCGGAAGATTACCCATGCGGGGGATCGCTGGATTTTCCAGGAGACTGCACTCTCCACTTTTTTTGGCCATCCATGTTTATCTTTCATAGGACATTTACTAATAAGGTTGAACCTCCTTAGTTCTGAATAACCGAAGGTAAAGGAGTCATTTGAAATAACTGTTTTTTCATCTCATTTGATGGAGCAGAATTCAAAGCAACACCTTAACGTTCCCCAGAGGCTTTGCAGAAATCGTTGAAGCTGGGCAGGGGCGGAGGGGGATTCACTTTCAGGTTCCTGTTATAGCAAGTGCCGTGGCTAAGTCACCCTCCCTTTTTTCTTCATAAATAGCAGATAGAAAAGATTTTTTATATTTCTTCTACTAGAAATACAGAGCGTAGGGCAGCAAGAAGGGGGAGGAAATTAGGTCAGTCCCTTTCCAAGAGCCGAAACTAGTAATAATAATCCACAGTTATCTTTTTAGTTGCTTGGAAATATTGTCCCTTTTTCTTCTCAAAGTGAATTAATTTAGGTTTAGACTCATTTCTAAAATGACTTCTATTGAAAGTTTTTTAGGGTAGATCTGCATGAATTGAGCATCCGGAGTCAGCAAGTAAAGACAGTAAGAAAACATGATGTATTAGACAGTTTTAGATTTAATAATTAATAATTAAAATACATTTTTCTTCTGTTAGATGCAGACAGTTAAGGCAGCAGACCTGCTGATAGAATATTTGTATACAAATATTTGTGCCTCACCGCCCCCCCATTCTTTGTTGTTTAACTTTTAGTATCCTTCATTTGCTAAAAATGAGCTCAAATCCAGATTTATTTTAATGTTGTATTAAACTAAATTAGATCAAATTTGTCTTTTTAAGAATGCTTGTTATTTTCACAAGCTGATTGCCAGTTGTAAATTAAATTTTCTGCTGTAAAAGGAATGACTTCACTTCTCAGGCTGTGTCCTCAGATTGCTCTCCTCTGTCCTTTACCTGCTTTATTTAAGACAAATCTTAAACCTTGAAATTACTTATTGGACCTTATGCCTGTTAATGTCATTTTTTACCCCCAAACAGTACTTCTCCATTTCACTGGCATAGAAATTCAGGACTGTAAAATCAGAATTATACTTGAACCCCAATGAATTTTTTGTTCATCTTTAATACAAATCTGGAGAGGAGGTTGACTCCATTTTGTGTTGTAGCTTTTAAGATCTTGTGGGGGGGTTTTTTGGCCTTTGTTCACATTTTTTATTGTCCAAATATATACTTTTTAAATATCTCCAAATATAATTTATTGACAATTAGAATGGTGATAGAAATGAAATACCGGGAATATGAGTATCTCAATTTTCAAGTGATTCTGTTTGGCATAGTTTCACATTTCTTATTTTTTTACAAGAGTTTTTTTTCCTCTTGACAGCTATTTCTTTGTGTTCTTCCTCAAGATAAAAGTCAGTGGATAAGTAAAATTAAAGAATTAAGAGCATGGTATAGCAACATCAAAGAAATAGTAAGTTGTACTTTAATTAATATAATTCTCTTCAAATGTACGCTTCAAAGTCCATTGGCCTCTGACCTTTGTGTGTGTTCTTTCTCTCCCTACCAGCATATCACAAACCCGAGGAAGGTTGTTGGCCAGCAGGACTTGATGATCAATAATCCCCTTTCACAGGATGAAGGGGTAAAGTTCATCTTTATTCATATCGCAACTTCTTTTGTCCATAAGAACATGTTTATCAGACTGGTTATCAATCACCACAAAAGCAGCGTTATTTCATACCAACTATTTTTTTAACCCCTACTTACTATACCACCTAAGAGCTCAAGGAAATTATTTCATGCTGTATACACACTGAGTTGTAGGAAGTGTATGATCTATTTCTGTGGACTAGCACTGCAAAGAAGTAGTCCCAAGGAGGTCTGTACGAACTAAGGGTAAAGTGGAAGAGCATAAAGATGAGGATGGCTCTGTTTTATCAAGGGTTGCAGTAGGGAGCGGGGACGAAAGCCTCCCTTCATGATAAAAATAGAGAAGGGCTCATTTGGTAGGATTTACAAGAAGAAAAGAAACCATTTGTAGTCCATGAAGAAGTTTTTAAAGATCAGGGAAAAGATTAGACCTACCTCCACTCATCCTCATGGAGACTAGGAATAATTACTACTTTACGGGTGTTGTATAACTTCTTTAATTACTGTTCTAATTCCTGGTTTCCTGCTAACAAATTTTTTTCCAGTTAATATATAATATTAGCCCTTCTTTTTCCTGATACATAGCATTATTATAATATAGTCTATAGTATAGCAGCATATAATATTGTTAAGTAAATTTCAAAACTTTACTTAAATTCACATTTAAAAAAGCACATAAAAATTTATTCATTTAGAATACCAAGCTTCGCAGAAAACATTACGTTTCTTTCTTAGTGTACTGGGAATTCAGGTCAGGTTCATGTTGGGATCAGTTGGGCTACGGCACTGCTCTAATTCAAGGAGACCTTTTTGTTGTTGTAGGGGTAGTACTGGGTTATAGCAGTAAAAACATCATTCACTTTATATAGATAACAGAAAAAAATTAAATATATACAGTAATATCACTAGAAAAATCGATGTTAGAATAAGGATGCATTTCTGAGAGTAAACTAGATTTTAATAAAAATTGCTCCAGTTTCAGGTTTCCTATCTGCAATGTGAAATGATAGCTCAAAGGATAAATTCAGCTATTTAAATTATTAAATTGAGATGATAAAAGCCAAGCAAAGGTGTGAGATTATTTTATATAGGTTGTTCTCCTTATTTCAGAGTCTTTGGAACAAATTCTTCCAAGATAAAGAACTTCGATCGATGATTGAACAAGATGTCACAAGAACGTATGTAGAACTATTTATAAATTACTTAACTGTAATTCAAATTAGTGTTGCCTCTTTGTGTTTTAGCAAAGTGCAAAATCCATTGAGGAGCCTTGTGTTAATAACAAAGTTATTTTGGCCAAGTTTTGATAATAACTATTATTTTCTATTCTTAAAATACAGATTTCTGCATTCCCTTTTTCAAAATAAGTTATTATATTTATGACGTTGATACTCTTAGAATAATGTTAAATCATTGTTTCTATTGCCAACAATTATTTGAAGTCATGTGCTTCTGATTAAGGTTATATTATGTTTTCATAATACTGGTACTGCTGGCAAGATTTATCTCTTGCTTTACACCTTTGAATTCCTTTCTAACCAAATTACTTTTTAAGTGACAACTATTATTTTTACCCTCTTTATTTCTCTTCCTCTTGAAGCCATTGAGGTTTGCAAACAATTTCTGCTCTCAGTCTACTCAATATTTACCATGTAAAAAAGTAGTTTTTTATTTAGCACATAGTCAGTATCCAAAACTTTTATACATTGACCTCATCTTTCTGGGTCAAGTAGTGAGAAGTACATGGAATTTGTGGAAGAAGATCCTAGGGTAAGTTCTAGCAACATATGCTATCATCTTGGGCAAATGACTTTCAATGAATGTCTATCTCAGTGTCCTCTTCTTTAAAATGGGGAAAATAGTAATCACCATACAGTATTGTTATAGATAAATGAGTATCTGTTGTAATAGTAATAAATGAGATACATTTATACTTTAAACTGGAAACAGTCACATACATGTTAGTAGATTTGATTTAATCATCAGGATCTAGGACAAGCCAGGTATACCCAGAGTCATGAGTATCTCTGATGCCTTCTTTCTAAGTCCTTCTGCAGCTTTGCCCATCTGCCTACTTTAAGTTAAACTCCTATGAGATCTATCACAGTGCCATGGCCTCTGGCTCTCTGCTATTCCTCTCTTTCCAGATCCAAGCAATAATCAGGTGACATGGACTATTCTTAAGGTTATGCTAAATAGTTAACAAATGAATTGTTTTTTCAAAATGAAAATAATTCAGAGGAATCATGAGTTGAGAGTAAAACAAAATCTTGGAAAGCTGGCACTAGTAGTGGGTTGAGAGTGGAAGGTATGGGATCATTCCGATGAGCTTGAGTTATCCAGTTACCAGGAGTCACCATTTATAGGGAAGCAGATCTCGGAGGTGTGGGGTGGCTGTGCTTGATGTCTCCAGTATTAATCTCAGGAAGTAGAATGCCACTGTGTTTGTGCACAGGAGGCACTCAATTAATATTTGTGGAATAAAACAAAAAGAATAAATTTCCTCATCAGTCATTGAAGTAACTAAGGGATCGGTGGGAGGAAAACGGGCCTCTAAAAACAAAATGCAAGGTATATGTTGCTAACGAAGCAGTAAAGGTATCTCTTTCTTAAAATATGAGGCAGTTATCTTAGAAAAGTTGACAGCATCAGCTCGAAGAGGCTAATAAGGATAATAATCTCCCATTATCAGATGGAAGTGGAGGAGTGTGTCACGGAGGCAGGGCATACTCCGAGGCCATGTGGGCCATTAAAAGAAATAGCAAACAGGGCTGTAACATATGGATAGTACTGCAAGAGATAGGTAATTAATCCATTTTCCATGTTTTGCATTACTTGGCCTTGGGAATGCTACTAACCCCCAGTCCTTCCTGTTGGATTCCTGACAGTTCATTCTTCAAAGTCTGAGTTCATCACCAATCTGTTAATGGAGCATTTTCTGTTCTTTACAACTGGAAACAACTTGTGCCTATTCTATGTTCTAGTAGAATTTTCTTAATAACTTTTTGATGATTTACTTAATTTTGTTTGGTCTTATATTTATTTAGACCTGCCAAGGTATTCAATCTGCCAATGTAGTCAATACATTTATATTAATCTCCTCTGGGAGCCAGGCACTGGAGATGCCAAGATAAATATGGCATGGACCCTTAAGAAGCTCAAAATCTAATAGAGAAAGTAGCCAAAAAAAGTTTCAGTCCAAGATAACTGGTGCTGTAATAGAAACAGTATGTGCAAGAGCTTTGTGTTAGCCCAACTCTCATCTTTGAAATCTAACAGTAAGCCTCTGGAGGGTATGGACCAATGTTGTTTTTGTCTCACTATACAGAGTCAAGTTGATGTTTAAGAGAGATATAAGCACATTTAAAAAACACACAAATCTATTTTCAGCCTGAGTTTAAACAAGATAATTTCATCTCATAAGCTGCATCATTGCCATCATTATTGAATTTATTTGATCTCAGTATGTCACTATATTAAGTACTATCTCCTCTTTCAACTAATTTTAATATTCTTTTATTCTACTAACCCTTTTTTTTTGCCTCAAAGGGTTTTGTATTCATTTCAATTAATTGTTCTTTATCTCAACCTAATGAGGTTGTTACTGTTCTCATTTTTATTACTGAAAAAACTGATAATAAAAAAGTAAATCCAAGAGTTCCAGTTTACAGCATTTCTCATTCAGAATTCAAATCGTCCATTCCAAACCAATTTTGCCATGCTTCAAAGGCTGTAACAATAAATGAAACTCAGTATTATTTAAAATGATGGGAAGTGTTGAGTTCAGAATGAAATATCATTTCCATATGAGATGCCAAAGAAGTCTGTTATTTGGTCTATCAAGGTCTATTCTAAAAGTCTATTTATAGTGTCTATAACATCACTTGCAAATTAGCATATTTATAAGCTTTTGCCAAATAGTATCGTCTTTTCCTCAGATGTGTTCTCCTTCTCCCTTCATTTAAGTGATTAAAATTATTTAACTTAGTTTTATCATTGAAACTTTTACTATATTTTAAAGTTTATCCGATTGCCTGTTGGATGTGCTAGTCCTCACCTTCCGTATTCGGTCTTTTGTTTCTGGGTATTGTAGGATTATTTCAGTTAGCACTTCAGGCAGCTCAGTCATCACTGAGTCACCTTCTTTCCTACTTAATCTCCATGATATGGTTGGATCTGCAAAGGTCCAACTTTCTCAAATGAATCCTTCATTTTGTTTATAGTTTATATGTGGGCCAAGCTTCTGACATAATCTATTTAAACAAACTACGACTCCTTAGTTATTTTCAGCTCTTCATTTGATATTTTGTGGAGTCATTAAAAATTGCTGAAATTCTTTTTAAAACTATAGATGTGTGTTGTCCAATTTGGTGCCCACCAGGCTCATATGGCCATTTAAATGGACACAAACACTGGTCTGGGGAAGGCCTGGGGGTGGGGTGGAGGAGCTCAATCAATCAATCAATCAATCAATAAAGTGTCTTGTTAGTAAAAATCAAATTAACAAATAGCAAGAAAATTTACATTAATTAAGATAAAATTTTAAATGAAGTCTTCATTCATAGTAGCTGTATTTCAAGTGCTAATGGCTGTTATATGGGACAGCATAGATCTAGAGCATTCCTATTATAGAAATTTCTGTTGGGTAGCACTGTGGAGGATTCATTGTTATGTTTTGTACTTGATATGAATGTCTGCATTTTGTTTTTTATTGATAGTGAACTTTTATATGTAGCGTGTGCTAGATATTACTTTTATTTCCTTTCTCTGCCCTTAAGAAACCTTCATGAATGTTTATAGTACACCAGTCTTACCTGAGTTTTTCGTCAAATTTAGTTATTATGTTATGCTGTAGTAGGCAGCTTAAAATTAGGCTACTTTGAAATTTTTTTCTATATTAGTGATAAAAAAAGTGATTTTACAAAGTGAACTTGTTAATTTTTTTCTTGTTTAAAGTCCATCTTCTCCACAGTTTCCCTCTTGGGAGAAATACTATCAGTATTCTGTAACGTGACTTGATTGTTACACTTTATAAATGTACGATGTCCTAAATGTCTCTTATACAGCTTCTTCCAAGCCCATTTTGTACTTAAATAAAACAGAAATTCCTCCGGGAAGGAGATTTTACAAGCAGTTTCAGAGCAGAATTGATTTGGGTGTGTGTTAATGCAGACAATCTGCCCAGTGTTAAAATGTTAGAGAGAAAAAAACACACAAGCTGCCATCTCCGTGTGATCACACCAAAATAGCAGCTTGTATTTATATTTTCAGTCTCCTCGAGGTGGACTGCAGGCACACACGAATGAGTGGATGCACTTGGTGTTGTGTTGTGGTTTTATTTAATGCAGGCAGAGTACACGCTTGTGCATGCACGACCAGCCCTCACATATGCACTTGTTCACAGCCGAGAAAGTGAAAACTACAACACAAGCCGCTCTCTGGGAGCTGTCGGCAACCTGTGTGTGTGTTTCTTAAATATTAAAGAGGGGGGGAAAACAGATTTTCAGGAATATAAGAAACAATTCTTCTGTCAAATGGCCTGTAATCCTTCCTCATTTGACAACATTTAAGGTAACAACAAAATATTTGGTTATTATGGTTACATGTATTCATTTAGAAATATGTATTTTCCTGGAGTGCTCCTGTTTTTAATGTGTATTTTTCCCCATTTCTGTTCCATTTAAGCATGCAAATTCTTATCACATAGTTATTCCAATTTACAGAATATTTTAGATTTTTGAGAATTTTTTTTTAGTATTTGAGTGAAAATATAGGTGCATTTGCTGCAGATGATACAGTTTCGTGCTTTAATTAACACCTGATGCTGTGAGTCTTCGGAACTTGGGAGCAGTGTACCGGGAGCAGCAGCGGTCTGTCACCCGAGTTGCTGACCAGAAGAGTTTGGGCTGTTGAGATCCCCCTGCTTTAAATTAAGCCATATTTTTTAGCACTACTTATAGTTGTGGGTTCAATATTGATGAAGAGAATGTTAAAAAGTAAAGTGTGATAGGTGCTAAAGTAATACCCCGTCCTGAAATACCCCTAGTAGGCATATCCAGTTCATTGGTGCAGCAATCTTTGCATACTTCCATGCGGATTTGAACGGAAACTACTTTATTGCTTCAAGGGTAAATGGGTCTTGCACTTAAAACACACACACACATATTTCCCTAATTTT